TTGTATATATATCTGTACAGGTTAATTGTGGTAGGTACTGTTTAGCCTCGTCACTACTTCGCCGGGGTTAGGCTAGGCACTTACCAGCACATGGGGTCGGTTGTGTTGTTGCTACACTCTGTACATTTTTGTGCACAGATCAGGGAGCATCTTACGGACCGTAGCAGTAGGACTTCTGGGAGCTATCTTTAGTCCNTGATGCTACACTCTGTGCATTTTTGTGCACAGATCAGGGAGCAGCTTACGGACCGCAGCAGTAGGACTTCTGGGAGCTATCTTCAGTCCAGGGACTCTCGAGGTAGCCTAGCTGGCGTTCGCAGGCCGAAGTCCCTTTCCATGTTTTTCGTTTGTTTATCTTGTATCAGACAAACATGATGTATTTTCCTTTCAGACATTGATTGTAGTATTCTGTAGTAGTCCGTGAGCTAGTGACACTAGACTCTGGGTAGCATTTTGGTTCAAACTTCCGCACTTTTGGTTCTCAGTTGCTTTAGATTTAAAGTCTTCCGTTTAAATTTTGTCTCGTTTATTATATTGTTTGGAAGAAAGCAGGAAAAATGTTTTATATATTTGGCTTGCCTAGCTCCGATAGTAGGCGCCATCACGACACCCGATGGTGGAAAATCCGGGTCGTGATAGGCTGCCTACGTATCTTGTGGTGACAAGAATCAGGTCGAACATAGTTCAAAAGACTACTTTTTGTTACTATTTTCCTTTTTTCTTTTTTTCTCTTTTTTTTTTCTTTTTTTTCTTTTTTATTTATTTCTATTTTTCTCTTCTTTTTCTTGAATTTTCCTTTTGGAATGAACTTTATAAAATAAACCTATGGGGACAATTTTTTTTTCATATGACTCTAACTTGATTCCAAAAGAGGGGAGGTCAAAGAAATCATTATAGGGTCAAAAGGGTATCAAATGATATAAGTGTTTGGGTAGCTAAAAGAGGGCCTCCCAATCTCTGAAAATGCCAAGTACAACACATGCAACTTGAGAATGAAAAAGAAGATCATGCACAACATTTCTTTTGCAGCTTCGACATTGATATCACTGATATGCTTTCCACTTAACACCTTGTCAAGTACAGACTCTCGTTGGGTAATTTCTTCTTCACAATGGATACCCTCAGTCTGTTCGGAGAAAACTTCCTTGGCTTTATCTTGTTACTTGAGATACACTTGAACTCAAAGTTTCTCGCTTCAAATTGTCCGGGATGCATTCTCCTTTAACAAATTCTTGTCATCCTATTAACTTTCCAAATTATCTGCCCCAGTTTTACACAGTTCGGGCTTTAAATGATCTCAAAATATCCAAATCTGTACTTATTTCCCTCAAATGTCCCTATCATCTTCAAAATTGTTTCATTGCTTCATGATTAAACTAACTTTTAAAATCAGGCCTAGAATTTTGCATGCATATCATGTCACTAAAGCCAGCATGAAAAGAACTATAAAAGGAGAAGAGAACTAAACAAAAAATGACTAGAAATAATAGAAAACAGAAAATTGTATTAGACAGACAGTGAAAGGGTTTGAACAACGAAACAAGCAAAATAAACTGGGGTTACAACCCTGGAACAAACCTAGCCAACACTAAACGAGTTACTATGACTAAACGAACTAGGCAAAATAAAAGGATAGAACGGTTTGAGTCACAAGACAATATCCGGATTACAACCCTGAAATAATCCGGACAAAAGAAATGATAACAAAATAAACCACCAGGACTCCCCTGGCTAGCCAAGAAAGGAGCGTCTTTCCAATTACCAAGCTCGACATCTTAGCCACTAAGTTCCACATCAATATCACCGGGACCTTCACCAACTCAATCACCTTGTCGTCACCAAGTGGCTCATTGACTCCTTTAACCAACCTTTTGTAGATATGTGATTTTTGACCCTCCCCAAATTTTTTTATATTTTAGCATGTAAATATTTAATTTAGGCCTAATATCGGTATTTCACTAATTTTGACTCTTTTACTTTATTTTATAACAAAAAATAAAAATTACAAAAAATAGTTTCATTAAGGTTTTGTAGTCATTTTTAATCTTCAAAAAATATCAAAAATAGGTTTGTTTTAAACGGTTAGTATTATTTTAATAGTTATTTTCTTAAGTAAGATTAAGTACTATTTTTAATAGTTTATCTTGTTTGCTAAATTATTCTACAGACAAAAAGGTGGAGGGAATAGAATTAATTTTTTGGACTAATTTAGTCTTGTTTGTAGCCCAATTAAACCAATCTCTTAGCTAATTAACTCAAAAGCCCAAACCTAGACACCCCATTTAGCATAATATACAAGAAAAATCAAAGAAAAAACCTAGACCTAGACATTTAAGGATTAGCCGTTTTCTATTAGGATAGGGACCCTATCTTCTTCTTCAGGAGATATACAAGAAAAACTCTAGGAGAAGGAGATAAAGAAAAGCTTCAGTAGCCATAAACAAGGAAGCAGCCATGACAAAAACCCTAGTCTCCATAACAACCTTCAGCCGTCACTGACCAGTCGACCACCAGCCGCATCCTCACCACCAAAACTCCATCGCCGAACCTCCGTTCACCACGCATCTGCCATCTCCGGCGAAGCTTCACCTCACACACACCTGCCCGTCCTTCTCCAGTTCCAGCCTTGACCCTCACCCATCTCCCTCTCGCCGGAAACCATACACGCACACACAACACCCTACGCAGCCTTCATCACCCAAACCTGAACCTGCAAAACCAAGTAACGAGATCAGTAACCTTCAGCATCCTACTTCTCCAATCAACACCCTAAGTTCCATTAGCGACCAAACCATCTCCAACCGTGCCAGGCCTAGATGCCATCAGATTTGCCGGAAAAAGTCGTTTCACTTGTATATACTTGCAAATCGTGATAGCACTGAGTGATGGCCAAAGACCTACTGTTCTAATATCACTTGACTCTTCTTTTGCTATTACTACTGTTTGCTGTTGTGGTTGTGAGGATTGTTCTTTGATTTTCATTCCAAAATGAATGTCATTTGAGTTTGTGTATGGATTCGAAATTTCCGATGTCGATTCGAGGTCCGTTGTTGAATTTTGTTCGCGGTTCCGTCGAGCTCTTGTCCAAGCCGTTTCAGGGTCTAAAGATGTAATCAGATGCAAGGAAACTATTTAAGGAGTTGAATCCTTGAGGTTTGTCATGTCTGCAAAATCATTGACAGTAAGGTTGTAAGAAAGGTTGAGGGAATTAAAGAAGTCGATAAATTGATCATTGGAATGACAAGTCCCAAATCGTATATTTCATTCATCTTTATTTTCATATTTTTGACTGTGTCGTTGTGGCCAATCTTGGTACCTCTTTAGCATAGGATTTGAGTCATGATTCTTGTGTTTATGTAGTTCAACACTTGCATTTGTGAGCCAGCATAAGATGGAAAAAGGCGTAAAGTTCAAGTAAGCATTTCTCATTGGTAAAGTTGAGTTTTTCTCTGAAATATCTGTTCAAATGTCAAAATATTTTTTGCACTAAAACATTGTTCAAGTAATGGTAGATTCTTCATCATATACGTAACAATTTTTAATGTAGCTTCTATTTGTTTTTGTTCATGTATTTCGCATGGTATGGAGATTAACAACTCTCGGATATCGTAGTTTGCTTTAGGCCCGTAATTAAATTATTACAACTACGGGTACGGTTTTTGTGATGTGATTGTGTTACCTAATTCCAAATTAGATTAAAGTAGGAGCATCTTTAGTTAGCCTCCAAAAATGCAAATCTTTTCCTTTAAAAAAAATTGAGGTGCGCCATACACAAATAAAATCCTAATCTATGGCCCTCACGTAAATACAAAATTAGTATGCAAAATGCCTTGAACTTTCGTAGTTTGCTTTAGGCATGCTAATTAAATAATTGTCATAGCTACAGGTACGGTTCCCGTGACGTGGTCGTGATTTTTTAATTTCTAAAAATTCGGGGGTACATTTATGTGACCCGGCCACAATTTATTCTTTTAATAAAATATACACGTTGTGGATCGTGGGTACGATTCCCGTGACACAATTCGCAAATGTGTAATCAATAAATAGTTGCATGATACTTGGATTACTAAGGCGATTTAAAAAAAGAATAAAAATGCACATAGGTTTCAAAAATATTTTAAAAATCAAATAAATAGGCCAATATTAACAGTTGAGCGACCGTGCTAAAGCTAGGAACTTAGGAATGCCTAACACCTTCTCCCGGGTTAACAGAATTCCTTACCCGAATTTCTGTGTTCGCAGACCGTAAATATGAGTCAAACTTCCTCGATTCGGGATTTTAAACCGGTGACTTGGGACACCATAAATTATCCCAAGTGGCAACTCTGAATTTTTAAATAAAATAATCTCATTTCGATTATCACTTAAATTGGAAAAAACTCCCATATCTCCCTTCCGGGGGTGGTAAAAAGGAGGTGTGACAGCTCTGGCAACTCGGCTGGGGACAAGAACCCAGAACTTCTGGTTCAGGGTTCAAGAATTCGAGCTTAGAATAATTGTTATATTTGGCTTTTATTTTTTATCTATTTTTATTACATGTTTAGGCCTAATGTGCTAAATGTTGCTTTTTACCGCTTTGATACTATTTGAACTGTATATAAACTATAACGAAACCCTTCTCTTCTCATCTTCGGGGATGTGCACGCTGGCGTGACTCCTTTTCTGTCAGTGTCATACCTTAAATTAGGAAGAGGCTCAGACAATTTACAAAGTTGGATGGCCTTTTGGTTCCCGGTACGTAGCCCCCTCCCCCCCAAGTTGTCCTCTCGGGTACACAAGTCTAGAACAACATACCCAGGTTTTGAACTTAGAATAACTCAGCTTCATACCGGATCCCTAGTAGGAACGTTTGTTTGCATCACGCGCATCTGACTTTGGGGATTCAACATAGGGGTTGGGTCCGTCTAGGACAGGTGTGCCCAAAAAATAAAAGATCATCCTGATGCATCTTATGTGCTACATGTTGCAGTTTTCAAGGGTAAAAGGGTCATTTGGCGGACCAATGATAGTTGAGGGCAAGTAAAAAAAAAGAACAAAAAAGGAAAAAAAAAGAGGCTGAAATGTGAAAATAAAGCAAGTAGGATCTAGTCATGTTTTCTATCATATTTTTGTTAAGAAAAAGACAAAAAAAAACATGAAAAATTCAAAAAGATTTGCACTTTTTCATCATTTTCTGAAAATCAAAAATCCAAAAAAAAGGGAAAAGAAAATCCAAAAAGAGTTTACATGTTTCATCATTTTTCAAAACAAAATACAAAAAAATTAATTTCTCTAAATTAGTTATTTTTTTAACTCTCGCCCGTATCCAATTTTCCCCATCTACGCATACCTGATTCTCGTCTTTCGGGGCGTGATATGTAGGCAACCCACATAGGGTCCGTTCTTCCTAGTAAATCTTAGGTTCTTGGCTTTGTGGGGTCTTAGCCAAATTTTGTACTTCTAGCCACATTTTGGCCACATAAACCATTTTAGAAAAATAGTCACAATCATATCTTGCATGTGTCCAACAGAAAGTATTATTATCTCACATAGTGTTCTAGGTCTTTAACTTTATTTGGTCTATTTTTCTCATACAAGTGTGGATCTACTTACCGGAGTTTGGGCATGACAGACGCCCTAGGACTATCCAGTCAGGGTCAATCATTCAGGAGTTTGCTTAAGGAGATTTTTTTAATTATTATGTTTTGAGTTTGTTGTTCTTTTTATGTTGTCTTTTACCTTCTGGTTTTGTACAGCAATGTCGAGTCTTTCGTTATTGTATTTCCTATTTTGTATTGAAAAAAAAAGATGTGTAATAAATAAATAAAAAAGAGATTTTGCGTTTTAATATTTATGTTAGATGTTTTCTTTAGAATACTAACTCTAGAAGTTCAAAAAAAAATCTTTTGTGGTTTTCCTTAGGAAATTAATATCTAGAACTCAAAATAAAAATTGCTTTTATATTTCCTTTAGTATATTAAGACTAAAAATTCAAAAAAAAAAAGAAGAGAATTTTCTTTTAGTACTTCTTTAAAAGTTTTCTTTAAGATATTGATTCCAAAATTCAAAAAAGATTTTCTCTTAAGGTTCTCCATTGGGAAATATATATAAAAAATATATTCTTTTTATTTTCACTAGAACTTTAGGATATTGTACATAGAAGAAAAATAACATACTTTACATGGTTTTTTTATCTTGTTCATTTCTCATTTCGAAATCTTTTTCGGTGATATTAAATGAAAATTCAAAATATTTTTCTTTGGTTTATTCTTTAGATTTCCTTTCTAAAAAAAGAATCAAAAAATATTTTGTTTCTTCTAGGGTTTTTCCTTAATAATTTCTCATAGAATATATGTTTCAAAAAAAAAGGAAAAATATTTGCTTATTTAAGCTTGAGTTTAGAATATTATATAGAACATTAAGTCTAGAAAATTCAACAAAAAAAGGTTTTGCTTCTTTTATTTCTCTTTTCTCATCAGAATAGTCATTAAGGTAATAAAAAAAAGAGAACGTTAGTTCATTTAGTCTATTCCCGATATTCCCGAACTACGCAAAGATCTGATTCATGCGGCGTCATGATACGTAGGCAACCTACATAGGGTTTGATCGAATCATTTTTAAAAATAAAATTAAAAGAAAAAGGGAAAAAAAACAAAACAGAAAAACAACAAAAAAAAGAGAAAAGAAAAAAAAAGGATGAAGTTGTGGGACGTGAGAAATGAGAGGAAAGAAAAGAGTGATAATTAATTAGAAAAAAGAGGAAAGAAAATGAGCAACAAGAAGTGCCAGAAAATAAAAGAAAAGAAAAGATTGAAATGAACAAAATTGGAATGATGCCAAGTGACCTTGTGACCCTCGAAGTCATTCTAGAACCGTTAATTGTTACTAGGTGCATTGCACGCAATGTGATATTTTTAGTTGTTAAATGCCCTAATGCTAACAGGATGTCCCATTTTGTTCCTTTTGTTATCTTCGTTGAGCAGAAGGGTGGTTGGTTTGTGGTTCTTAAGGTAACTCATCCATACAACACAAGGTCAAAGAGCAAGGTAGTCATGACTAGCAAAGACCTGGACACAAGAGTTGTTGACCCGTCGAGGGAGTTTATGAAGTCGGAGTCTAAATTGAAAGGGGAGGTCCAAATGTTGAAACAACAAGTGGCAGAAATGTATCAGTCTTGGATCAGGGGACATCCTCCACCTTTATTTCCCACTAACTACATTGAAAACCCTGTAACTATCCCACCACTATCACAAATCTATATTCCCACTACTGCTGATATTTCCCCACAACCTTTTCACACTCTACCCGCCAAAATCACCTCATATCCCGCTCCTTTGTCCACTCATGCTTTTGTAGCTCCTCCACCAGCTACTTTTCCCCAATCCTCTAACGAGACTGTGCTCAAAGTCTCCGAGGCCCAACACTATGCTCCAGAACCAACTTCCAAGGATTCAGATCCCTACTCTCACGCTCCTTATTTTGAGCCTCCCGGTGAATCTGAAAAGCCTGCTAAGACAGTGAAGCAAGATGAGATATCCAGGAAGGTGAAAATCTTAGAGCAGTCTTTAAGAAACATGCAAGGGATAGGGAGCCAGATGAGCATGGCTTACAAAGACTTGTGCTTGTTTCTTGACATCCAACTGCCTGCTAGTTTAAAGATGCCGAAGTTTGATTTGTATGACGGACATGGAGATCTCGTGGCCCATTTAAGAGGTTACTCCAGTAAGATGAGAGGCGCCGGTAGGAAGGACAAATTATTTATGGTATATTTTAGTCACAGTCTGAGTGGGGCAGCTCTGAAGTGGTACACCCGCCAAGACGTTAGCAAGTGATACACATGGGACGATATGGCTCAGGCCTTTGCCCGGCACTTTCAGTACAACATAGAAATTGTCCTGGATCACATGTCCCTTATCAAGATGGGAAAGAAGCCTAATGAAAGCTTTAGGGAATACGAGCTCAGATGGAGAGAGCAAGCTGCCAGAGTCAATCCCCCGATGGAAGAAAAAGAGATGGTCGAGTACTTTCTTCAAGCTCAAGAGCCAACTTACTTTAGGCATTTGATCATGGTTGTGGGTAGGCCTTTTAATGATGTGGTAAAAATGGGAGAAATGGTAGAAAATGGGTTGAAGTCGAGCAAGATCATGAGCTATTCTGCTTTAAAAGCAACAACACAAGCAATTCAGAACGACACAAGAAGTTTGCTGGGTCAAAAGGAACGTGATGATATTGTCATGGTTGTTTTAGAGTCACGACATGGTCCAAAGGGTCCGCCTTATTAATATACCCAGCCTCAACTCCAACCCCAAACCTATCCCCGAGCTCCACATAATCCACCTCAGTATTATCCTCCGAATAATGTCCGGTCATCTGTCCAACCACCAGGTCACTCCCTATGGCGAGAACCAGCACCGCATAATGCATTCTTGCCTTCACAACATTTTGAGCACCCAACAACCCTAGGAAACAGGGGCAAGGAAGGGAATAAAGGCAAAAAAATTGTTTCACGCCAATCGGGGAGTCTTACACAAGCTTGTTTGAAAG